AGTTATCTCTGTAAAAATCAAATCAACAATTAATAAAGATCACAATTTGAGAAGTGCCTCGCAAAAAAAAAAAAAAATTAAATTCGTTTCAGAATATTGCTTTGTTATAACAAAAGATCTAATTTAATAGAATTTGTTATAGAAAAAGAAAACTGTATATATAATTGTATATAAATAACTTAATAAAACTTAAATATTATAAGCACTTTTTATTTAAAAAAACAATAACATAAAAATAAAATTGTTATGTTTTGTCTCTTGTAAATATTGAATTAAAAATATATATTTGATAATTTAAAAGTATTATATATTGCTTATTGATTCACATATTTATAAAATAAATTGTTTTAAATTGTTTTATTGTTAAATTATTGAATTATAAACAATTTATTTTTATTAATAATATATTTGATATTAAAATATTTAACTTAATTTATAATTCAATATTGATATTTAAACTTTTTATTTATTAATTATTGGTCAATAAATTTTATATAATTATTTGTAAAGTCAAAAAATTATATCGTAGATGTTAAATATACAAACAAAACAATTATTACAATAAATATAATCTTTTTATATATGATACTATTGTTTTGAATTTTTTTTAATTATATTAACTATATTAAATACAACAATTGTATTAATTACATTAATTTTTACTTTTTAATATTTTATTTAATTTTATATCAAATTTATTATAAGTTATAAAATATTCCCTTTAACAATAAATATTAAAAAGAAATGTCAAAAAATTTAATATAATATTCTGAATTTAAAATTAATATTTTAAAAAATTATTTGTGTTTAAATATTTATAATTATTTTACATTTAATAACATTTTTTGAAAAATGTTTTTTTACAACGAACAAATTTTTTAAAATAAATAAATGTTTATAAGCCGATAAAATGCTTTAATTAATTTTAATTTATTATCAATAAAATAATAATTTTAAATAAATAGCTTGTAACAATATTATTATAATTAGTAATTTACAGTGGGATGTGCATAAAAGAAATAAAATATTTTTTTATAAAAAAATATTCAGATTGTTATTATTGCCCCCAAAAAATCGTAAAACAAATTCAAATTAATCTTTATACAATACCAAATTTTTTTTATTAACATTTTCATTTATTTAATTAATAATTTAATTGGTGGATATTTTTTTACATCATATATTACATTATTGTGAAATTAAAATTAAAATTTTTAATAACATATAGTAAGTAAATCCAACTATCCAAATTTTATGATACTGTATGTATTATTGCATACTTATTATCTTTTAATATCTTGTCAAAATTATTATTACTTAATTTATTCCTAAAAAGGATATCACGATAAGTAGGAAAAAAAAAGAAGCGATACGTCTTTCAAGTTAAATGCTCATTATTAACAATTCTAAGGATTTGAAGTAATATAAAGATATGCGCAGTACGCCAAATATTATGCAATATAGTTTATACAAAAAACACCGCTTACTCTGTTTCTTAGTGTGAATCTATTTTGAGTCGATCAGGCATGTTATCTATTGAGATTTTTTAATCGAGACCGGAGGTAATATATATTCATGCATATGATTCTTATATAATTCCTCAAGTTTTTCATCGACTTGGACCTCGGATGGACGTTCATGTGGATCATCTTGCCATGCTATTAAAAATATGGTTAAATTTGTTTAAAGTAGATACGCTTATCTAACTTAGTTACCTCGTCTAATTAGCTCCGTAAGTTCTTTATGAATTGGGCTATCAAAAACGTATAGAGTTTCTCTTCCTTTGTTTATAACATATTCCTGTATCTCTTGCACATTCATCTTTTTGTATGGAACCCTTTCGTAATAAAGTTCCCAAAGAAGCATTCCAAAACTATTGAAAGCATTTCGATTAAACATTGAAAGTGACAGTAAATAACCAATGAAGTCAACAATGAAACTAAAGTTATTAAGTACCTAAACATTTCGCTATAATAAGTGTAACGCATTCCTTTCATTATTTCCGGAGACATCCAGTAAATGGAATTACTTAAGTTCTTGATAGGTAAAGGATTACTTTGCACACTACAAGACATTTCAAACCCCGAGATTTTAGCCGTCAGATCTTCTGTTATCTAAGAAAACAATTAACAATTAAATATTAAAAATATTATATAAAGTATTATATTTATATTTAAAATTTTACTCAACTAACCAAAATATTCTTGCAACGAATATCATTATGTAGAATATTATTACTATGTATAAAATAAAGACCTTTAAAGATCTTACGAATAAATTTTAGTTTCAGGGACCAATCAAGAGTATGATTTTCATAAAAAATTTTTAGATCTCCATGTGTTGCCCAAGCAAAAACCATGGTGCTTTCTTTATCTACTTTAGTAAGACCATAAAAAGTTATAATGTGGTCGCATTTTCCCAATAAACTGAGGATACTCAATTCGGTTTGAATTTTTTGAGAGTCAGTGGCGTCTTCATCAACAACAGCCGGTATTCTTTTACAAGCAACCTCCGTACCACAATAGATTTTTTTAATAACATTTCCATTCTCTCCTCTTTTAATATCTTTTCCGGAATCTGGCTGTTTAAGATCCGAATATTTGATACTTTGTACCTTAAACATCTCATTTAATTGGTTTGATACATGAGAATTACCACCGAATTTCGATATTCGTATTTTACGTTGCTCCACATTATCCCGTAATTTGAATTGAATATCGTTAATATGGTTCATGTTGCCTCTGAGTTCGTCCGTTAACTAACAAGGAATATAATAAATTAATTAACCTCTAACAAAGCTTCAAGGAATGCATCAATAAATAAAAACAAACCTTGCCTACCATTTATATATTCTCTTTGATATCACTATATTCTTGTTCTCTTTGTTCTACCGAATAAATTGCCATAGTAAGTTGTAGATCACCACATGCAGATTCTAATTTGCTGACAATACTAGTATACTTCCTTCTAATAAAGGGTGTATACAAATACTTTTGAATAGGCGATTGCTGTGAAACATTTTTTGCAAACTCTGTAATTTCCTCTAATACGTGACAAATCTTAACCCATGCATCGTAATATAGACGATTCCTAAAATATTCTTCATTCTCTTCTTTGTGACTCTGCAAATATCTAGCCACTTTATCGAAAATATACACACGCTCAACCAGAGTCACACATATTTGCTTATTGTGCGTTGCATTTTCATAAATATGTGATAGGTTTTTCACTGCTTCTATAACAGTTGCAAATAATGGAAGGAGTGGATCCACTGCAGCCATAGAGAAAAGGATTTCTTTGGGTATTTGATGCACACCAGATTTGTTTTCTCCAATAGATTCTATCCCATTAATTTTGACAGAAGTCTTGTTAAAATTACTTTGCATTTCAAGTTTAACTTTTGATGAAGACTCCAAATTTGGTTTCTCTAAATATATTAATAAATTGCTATCGATTTTAAGTTTGTTTTGAATACTAGTATATTCACTTCACGGTGTTTTAGCATATGTTGATCCAAATTGTATTAAAAATACCAGTAATAATTGTTATAATAAGCCTGATAAAAAGTCTGATATCTATAGTTTAGGGGTTTTACTATGGGAAATTACAAGTGGTTACCCTCCTTTTGAATCT